TAATTTATAAATAATTAAGTAATAATTTTAAAATAATTAAATAATATTTATATATTAATTTAAAATACAAAAATTTAAAAAACTAAAAACTAAAAAAAAAAAATTTAATAGATGTCGCTATCTGTTGAAGAAAAGAGGTGGAGTGTAGAATAATTTAAAATATAAAAGATAGTTTTGAAATTTAAAAAAAATATGATAGTGCAGGGAATAAAGTTGGGTGGTGTAGGGATAATCCTCGTGATAATATAACCCACGATCCATATGGGAGAGAAAACGGACTCGTCTCAAATGAAGTGAGATGGCATGAAACAAAAGGAATTGAGTGAAAGGAATAATTAAGCATGCGAAGGGAGAATACTATGTCACACAGAACATATGGTATAAGGAGAATACTATCAGCAGTTTTCCATGCAAATATTCGTTGCTGCATCTCCAAAATTTTAATAATACTTCTTTTATTAATAATTATCAGTTTTAAATATCGGTTAATTTTTTTACTTAATTGATTTTTAAACATTAATTAAAGTATTTTCTCTTTATCTTAATTAATTTTCTATTTATTTAATTGGTTTCTAAATAATAGTTAAGGTTTTTCTTAAACTTAAAATGTCGGTTAAAAAATTTACTTAATAATTTTTTATTAAGGTTTTCTTAGTTTACTTTTTTATTTAATAATAATAATAAAATATATTAAAAAATTAAAAATTTAATATTTTAAATTTAAAAACAAAAGTAAAAATTATTTATTTAAATTTAATAATCAAAAAAATGTTTTTTTAATTTAATAAATATTTAATTAATTTAGTATTTTTATATAATTTTGTATACAATAATATTTAATTTATAAAATATTATTATTTTAAAAAATAAATAAAACATATTGAAAAACTAAAAACAAAAAAAAATGTTAATTTTAAAATAAAAATTTTAAAAAATATATTCACAGTAGGAATACAGTTAACATATTTTTTTATAGTTTTTTTCTTGTTCTTAATTTTTATTGTGTTTTATTTATTTTTATTTAATAAGTAATATTTTATAAATTAAAATTGTAATATATATTAAATTATATGAAAATTATTAAATTAATTAAATATTTATTAAATTTTTTTAATATGTTTTATTATTATTATTAAATAAAAAACAAAAAAGGTAAACTTAAAAAAAAATTTCTTAACCAGCGAAAGTTTATTAAGTAAATTTTTTAATTGACATTAATCGGTAGTTAGTAATGAAATAGACATTATTGGAATTTTGAAGGTGAAGGAATGGAGAACTGTTCATAATTTTGATATGAAGCCAAAAAGAAAATCTAATTATAAGGTGAAAAGAAGGAGACATATTATGTGTCGGGAAAGGAGAAATTGTTTTATTTTAATGAAGAGATCACTAGTACAGTCAGGAGAAATGACAACGGTTATTTTTTCTTATAGGCAGCGGTTCTCGAACTGAGACATATCCAGGCGAGACAAAAAGTGTAATACTTTTGGCCTCGTGTGTGAAACGAGACATAAAGGGAGAGAATTTGACATCGGTTCAACCATAACCGAAGTAGTAGAGTTTTTGTTTTTTTTTTTGTAGGACTATATGCCTCGGTTCAGGGGAACCGAGACCATATTTCCCACCCTACTGCCTCGGTTGTAGCTTGAACCGAGGCAGTAGAGTCCTTTTTTTTTTCTCATTCGCAAAACTTTCTGCTTTTGGTGTGGTTATAACTGAGACCATAAGGTGCTTTTCTACCTCGGTTTTGACTTGAACTGAGACATATATCCTTGTTTTTTTTTTTAAAAATGAGGTTTGTTTCTGCAACATTCCCAACAACAGAAACAGACCTGCATATATATTTATAGCCAGAATAGTCCAGAATAATCAAGAAACGTATATTTTGAATGAAAATTATAATAAAACGTATATAAGCTGTCGTAACCTCGTTGCTCCTCTCGTCCGTCCAGAAGTGGTGGAGACTTCATCGCCTGACGAATGAGGTGACTCAGCCATATATCTGTCACAATAAATAAGATGAAAGATAAATAAAACACTTATAAAATAACATATTATTTAACAAAAGCCATAAATATTTACACAAACATGTAATTCATACATAATCATATGGATTGGTCATATATATATTCCCTCCTTGTGATATTCTCGTATTGCCTGTATATCATCAATTAGAGGGTCGTCATCCAAATTTATTGTCGTTTTAAATGGATGGTTGTCAGTTATATGAAGATTATTTAGATTCTCTTCTTTATCTTCAATTTACCTTCTTCCTTGGAGAGCAACATACCAATGGTCAGACGCAGGATCTTTGACATAAAAAACCTGACTTGCTTGATATGCCATGATGAACGGTTCGTCTCCATAACCAACCTTTCGAAAATCAACAAGTGTCATACCAGACTCATCTATTTTTAAACCACTCTTATTGTCTACCCACTTACATTTGAAGAGTGCAACGGAAAACTTAGTGTAATCAACTTCCCATATCTCTTCAATTTTGCCAGAATTTCACATTGGTCTTCAAGTTACACGAAATGAATGTGATTATAAATCACAATCAAATATGCACCTGAAGATCAATACAATCCACATATGCAAGATTTCATGAAATTTAAGACACGTACATTAAAATTGATATGTATTAATAAACTATGAAAAAGTTATTACTCTTCTTAAACTGTCCAACCGGACAATTCAAGATTCAATACATGTAAATTATTATTACTATCTCCTCTCTATTAATTTGTAAAACATACATTTGTTAAAAAAAATCTGGAGATAGTAACTAATTTTTGTATTGAATATCAAACGGGAAACTAAGACTAATTCTCAACAAAAGTATATATTCAAACAAACAAATAATTTCATATACAATATACAATATATTCAAGCAAACAAATAATTACATATTCATATTAAAAGGAAAATTTTAAGGATAGAAACCTGGGAGCGTGAAAGCTAGTCAAATATCGAAAATGTCCGCGTATAAAACCTCACCACAACAATACAATATCTACACAAAAACAAACAACACATTAGTTAGTTTCATAGTTTCTAACCTTAAAGTTTATTTCATCACCAAATAAACCAATTTAATCCAAATATTCCTAGTTCCTATACTCTAATTCAAAATTATACATCAATTAACATCAACAACCAATTCAATCCTAACAATTTAAAATTATATAAAACCTATTTCAAAATTATATAAGCATAATTCAAAAGTATATAAACCTAATTCTAAATTATATAAACCTAAAAAATATATAAACCAATTATACAAAAACTTACCTGGAAGAATAAGTCCCACGAGAAAGATGGCCATGGAGGAAGCCGCCACCGATGTGCAGCGAGGGCGTTTCAGCGCGACGTCGTGCAACAGGGCGTCGTGCAACAAGGGTGAACCAGAGACAGCGGCGAACCAGTGACGGTGCAACGATGGTGGTTCAGTAGGGGCGGTGCTACGGGCAGCCCAATGTAGCGGCAACAACAATGGAGCAAACGGAGCACCAACGCAAAAGCAATCCAGGCAGAGGCAATGGAGGGCGGTGCAAAGAAGCAAATGGACTGTGCGAGAACAGCACCAGGAAGAAGAAGATGGAAGAGGGTTTCTCTATTTCGCGCTGAGAAGAAGATGAATGTGCTGAGAAGAAGATGAAGTGGTTTTGTTTCGCGGAGAAATTTAAACATGTTACTGCCTCGGTTCTCCACCTAACCGAGGCATAAACATCTTACCACCTCGGTCAACAAGACCACCGTGGCATAAACTTAAGAAAAGGCATCGGTCCTCCAACAAACCGAGGCCCAAACCGTGTACATCAGAGGTTGGAAGTCTAATCTGGCAGGTGGAGTAGAGTTTTATGCTTCGGTTTTTATCAGAACCGAGTTAGTAGCACCCCATCATGCCTCAGTTTTCATCAGAACCGAGTTAGTAGCAACTGGCAGGTTTGGCAGGTGGCAGGTCTGGCAGGTTTGGAGCAGAGTTGTATGCCTCGGTTTTGCCTAGAACCGAGTTAGTAGGACCCTTTAGGCATCAGTTTCTGGGCAACCGAGTTAATAGCTCCCATCAGAGGTTGGAAGTCCCATCAACTGTCAGGTGGAGCAGGTTTGGATAGAGTTTTATGTCTCGGTCTTACGTAGAACCGAGTTAGTAGCATGTTTTAGGCACCGGTATCGGGGCAACCGAAACATATACTTTAGCTATATTTACGAATCTGTCACCGCGCTTTTATACGCTTCGATTTCGCTTACTGAAGCATATATTGCGCTTTCTAATCTTTTTTTTTACTAGTGAATGATAAGTTTGAATGTCTTTGTTTTACGTCAATAATGAAGAAAATGATAGTGTTGTCATCTTTGATTTACCGATTAAAATTTTGTTTCCGTCCCTGTCTTCGTCTGAACGTTCACTACATACTTGGCCATTCAAAATCAAAATAGCCAAGTTTTCAGAACATAATCAAGTAACAAAAAAAATATGGATGAATCTTTATGGCTACTACAGCAATGCTATCAGGTTTTGTTGGGTCTATTGAGATCTTGATAAATCATAATATTATAACACAAATAAATAATTTAATAATTTGGCGATCTTGATATTTCAAAACCAAAACATAAAATCTTTTCCATAAATGTTTATAGAAATAATATTTGTATAATTAATTATTGTAGGAGAGATATTAACTTTACAGGCAGAAAACATGAAAAATGCAAAACCATCGCTACCAAAGAGTCTTGGACTGGTGCAGCACTTAATATGGTCCTCTGGTTAAACGGGTGGCAGTGTGATACTTTGGGTTCATCACTGTAATCACATGTTATTATGAAAACGTGTTTTCAATTTATTTATTTATAAAGAACAACAGACTTGATGTGGTGATCCCCTGGTAGATGATCTGGTTAAACGGGTGGCTGTGTGACACTTTGGGTCCATCACTTTATTCATACGATTAAAGGAAACGTGTTTCAATTTATTTACCTACCAAGGCATGCATCATTCCATTTATAAAGGACAACACACTTGGCTCCATGAACTCACACACTCACTCAACCCAAATCCATTTGCTTAATTTCTCTTCTGTTATCTCATAATTCCCATGGCCTCATCATCATCTTCTTCTTCTTCATCTTCTTCTTCTCTAATGTTTACAGTGCGAAGATGCCAACCCCAGTTGGTAGTTCCTGCTATCCCCACTCCTCACGAAGTTAAGCCACTTTCCGACATTGATGATCAAGAAGCCCTGCGTTTTCACATTCCCTTCATACAAATTTATCGAAAGAAAGCATCCATGGCAGAGAAAGACCCAGTTCAAGTCATTCGCCAAGCACTCTCCCAGACACTTGTCTTCTATTACCCGTTTGCGGGTAGGCTTAGGGAGGGGCCTCACCGCAAATTGATGGTGAACTGCACCGGAGAAGGTGCCATGTTCGTTGAGGCCGATGCAGACGTCACACTCGAGCAGTTCGGCGATTCTCTCCAGCCTCCATTCCCATGCTTCCATGAACTTTTATACCATGTTCCTGCCTCACAACAAATTACCAACACTCCCCTTCTACTCGTACAGGTAATGGAATTTTTATGTGAATTCTTCCTAACTATTTATCTTTGTCTATAGTTTGTTGATGTCGGAAATGAACTGATGAAATCACAGGTGACACGCCTTAGATGCGGTGGTTTCATCTTGGCCTTCTGCTTCAACCACATCATGTGTGACGGAGCTGGTCTTTCACAATTCATGAGCACGTGGGCTGAAATGGTTCGTGGTCCAACCGAACCTTCCATTCCACCTGTGTGGTGTAGGGAACTCCTGATGGCAAGACATCCACCTCGTATTACATGCAACCATCGCGAATTCGAACATGTCCCAGGCACAGTCAAAGGATCAAACCAACATGACATGGTCCTTCGATCGTTCTTCTTTGGACCTTCCCAAATAGCTACTATTCGTGGCTTGGTTCCACCCCACCTTCGGCACTGCACAACGTTTGATCTCATCACGGCATGCTTCTGGCGCTGTCGTACAAAAGCATTGCAGATAGAGGCAGACGAGGATGTTCGCATGATGGTGATAGTGAATGCACGTGCAAGGTTGAATCCTCCTTTACCAGTTGGCTACTACGGCAATGCTATTGCATACCCTGCAGCAGTTACGACTGCAGGGAAGCTTTGTGAAAATCCGTTTGGGTATGCTGTGAATTTGATAAATAAAGTGAAGGGTGAGGTGACAGAAGAGTACGTGCATTCTGTGGCGGATCTAATGGTGTCTAAGGGACGGTGCTCTTTCACAACGGTGAGATCTTTCATTGTGTCCGATCTGAGACGTTTTAGTTTCAGAGAAATTGATTTTGGTTGGGGTAAAGCATTGTACGGTGGAATAGCCAAAGCTGGAGCTGGAGCATTTCCTGCAGTAATATATCTGACATCGCATGAGAATGCAAATGGAGAAGAAGGTGTAGTGATACCAATTTGGTTGCCTGCCAAAGCCATGGAAAGGTTTGAACACGAGTTAAGTGACATGCTTCGAAACTAAAACCAACCTACTTCCATTTCTTTTTGATGTTTATATACTTTCTATGTAATTAAGAGAATTTTGGTTTATATTCTAGAATATTGACCAAAACCAAACTAAAACTAGGAGTCCTAGTTTAATCCTGTCTACCTATAGCTTGTTAATAGCTTATGAAAATAATAAATTTTGAAATACCAAATTATATGAACATAATTTTGCACTTATCATTCGTTTAATATCATTTCTAAACATATATAATTATAATATAAATATATTAGTCACATATTTTAAGACAAATAATTTGTTAAGTTTTATTTATTTTTCAATCTAATTAAAGTTATTACTAGCTCTTACATTTTGAAGTTATAAATAATAAAAAATAAATTAAATGAATATAAAACAAAATTTATAGATCAAGATATATGATGTTTTTTATTATTAATATACATTTTGAAAATTTGAAATTAATTATTAATTAGAATAAAAAAATTTCAAGTAATATTGCCAATTTAGTAATATTAGTTTAATTAAGGAAATACTGTGTAAAATCATAAAATTTTACGAGTTATAATCTTGATTTTAAGTATATATAATGATTTTCACCAAATAAATATCTTAATAATTTAATGTAAAAGTTTGAGGATTCCATTACTTATATTCTATAATTAATATATTATTTATTATTGATAAGAAAATGTTAATAATTTAATTTTAAAAGATAAAAATAAAAATATGTGATCAAAATATCAATTAATTAGTTCTAAAAGCATTTGTTTTATGCAAGATATGAATGCTAACCTTAAAATACATGGAACAATCCTTTTTGTAATGCAATGCCCTTCATAAAGTCAAACTGCTTAGCCTCGTCGGAAACTTAAAACCAAAGTTAATGTATTTTTGGAAACAGTTATATTTATAAAATTGAATTTGATGATATTAAAGAAACAACCCTTCATAAAGTCTAGCCGTTCTTTTGCTTCCACCATCATAGCTTGGACATCACCACTAATCAATATACAGTTATTTTCATGTAACTTTCACATAAATTTTAGACAAGTGTACATACAAAAAAGTTTTATAAGAACAGTTTTTGTTCCTTCCTAAACGAGAATAACATCCTCAGATGGATAACATGGATTCATCATCTTCCTGTCCACCGTTTACTATGCATAAATGCAAACCTGAGCTAGTGGCTCCTTCAATACCGACTCCCGACGAAACTAAACTATTATCTGAAATAGATGATCAAAACTACCTTCGTTTGCATTATTCAATAATACAAATCTATCAAAATGAATCATCTATGGCGAATAAAGACCCGGTAAGAGTGATTCGGCAGGCACTGGCACAAGCACTGGTTTTCTATTACCCATTTGCAGGTAGGCTTAGGGAGGGTCGTGGCCACAAATTAATGGTGGATTGCACCGGAGAGGGTGTCATGTTTGTTGAGGCTGACGCTGACGTAACACTCGATCAGTTTGGTGACAATCTTCAACCTCCATTCATACACTCTAAGGCATTTATGTGTGATGTTGCAGAATCCGAAGATATTAAAAATTTGCCACTTCTACTCATCCAGGTCCTACTTTATGCATGGAAATCTCTAACCATCACCCATCAATCTCTACCGTGTGCATGCAATTCTCTAACATGAAATTATGAATAACTTACAGGTGACAAGACTCAAGTGTGGTGGTTTCGTGGTGTCGACAGGGTGGAACCACGTGATGGCAGACGGAGCTGGTTTGTCACAGTTCATGCAAGCATGGGCTGAAATGGCTCGAGGTATAAAGACTCCTTCCATTTCACCTCTCTGGAGAAGGGAGCTTCTAATGGCAAGAGATCCACCTCGCATTACATGCAACCATCGTGAATACGACCAAATCCAAGACGACAACCTCAATTCTCTCGACCTGGTTCATCGATCATTCTTCTTCGGACCTGCTCAGATGGCTGCCCTTCGTGGTTTGCTTCCCCGTCAGCTTCGACAGTGCACCGCATTCGATCTCATCACGGCATGCTTCTGGCGTTGTCGCACAAGAGCGCTGCAAATAGACGCAGACGAGGATGTTCGCATGATGTGCATCGTGAACGCGCGTAACAGGTTCCGTCCTTCGTTGCCTGTTGGTTACTACGGCAACGCTTTTGCATACCCCGCCGCAATGACCACCGCGGGAAAGCTCTGCGCAAATCCGTACGCGTATGCGGTGGAGTTGATTCACAAGGTGAAGGGTGAGGTGACAGAGGAGTATATGCATTCGGTGGCGGATCTAATGGTGCTTAAGGGACGGTGCATGCCGACAACGGTAAGGTCTTGTTTGGTGTCAGACCTGACTCGTGCTAGGTTTAGGGACGTTGATTTTGGATGGGGCAAGGCTTTGTCTGGTGCACCAGCCAAAGGTAGCACTGGACCCTTTTACGGAGGAACACACATTGTGTCGTATAAGAATTCGAAAGGAGTAGATGGGTTGGTGTTACCAGTTTGGATGCCCGCAGAAGCCATGTCCATGTTCGTGAAAGACATGGAAGATATGATTAGTGGCAACCAAAACCAGCAGAACCACCCTACAAAAGCTGCTTCTTTTATCAGGTCTACCATGTAGCTATACTATGAAACTCTCTGTATTTTCTCTCTTTAAGCTATGTTTGGATTCATGGTTGGTGGTACAAAGGAGAAGAAGAGAATCAAAGGGAAAAATATTCCATTGGATTGTGAGAGTAAAGAAGAAACGCAATGGAAAAAATGTTGATCCATTATATCACGGATAATGCGTTAACAACTTTTTTTTTTTTAAACATTTTTCTTATAACAACTTTTTTTTTAACGATTTTTTTACAATTCCTATACATGAAACGAGTTATTATAATGTGAAAAAAAACATTTTTCTTATATTACCTACTTATAATCCCCTCTCAGTTCCAGTGTATTGATGGAATATTCTAAATTACTGAGTGAGAAATAACACTTTTAATAAGTTAAGTTATTATCTGGTTTGTGATAAAATCCAAAACTTGAAGATCGAACAATATCAATTTTTAATTAATTTTTCCTCAACGTATTTGAATTTTAAAATTGAAAAACAAAATATGCAATTGATAAACACATCTAAATATGTTATATAAGAAAGGAATTTGTACCCATAATATTAAAATCTGTATGAAATATTAAATGAATATGTATTGTTAGTGTTTTTTTAATCATTAAAGAACATTTTGGTAACTTTTTATTGATGATTACGTAATTATTTTGAATTTGATTTTATATGTTTATATTATTTATGTAAATTTATAAAACTGAAATTGATTTTTAAAATATTATTATTATAGGTAAGGACGAGAAATAAACTCTTTTTGTAAAAATTGTTTGAACATGTTCTTGTTTGATGAAAATTTATGTATTCACTGGATGTAAGTATGGATAATATTTGATTTTTTTAATTGATTTGAAAATAGAATATCAATATAAAGTGAAAAAAAGAAGGACTAACCTCTCTAATCATTATCTTTGTCACAAAAATCTTTTTAAGTATTTTTCAGTTTGAAATTTTTATCCTCATAAAACTCTGATGCTATACTATATATATAGTAAAAGAAAGCAGATTTGATGATCCAAAACACATAACACTTGAAATTTATAGAATTCTATTAATAATAGAGTAATTACTATAATAAATTGGTACCAATTTTGTAGGATTATAATATTAAGATTCATGCAATAATTCTAAAAATTAATTGACTAAATGGATTATATTTATTAAAATAATTGATTTAACATCAATATTTTATGTTATCTCCATGAGAAATTGTGAACATTCTTCTACTTGGTTAGTTTATTCCATTTTCAATCAATAGAAAAAACTAAATACAATCATCATGATATCTTAAAAAAATATTATCTCTCATATACCACAATATATCAAGTCTATAATCAAATACTCTTTAACTATATTAACCATGTTTATTATGGGTTAAACGAAATTTCTCAAAAACAAACTATATGTGCACAAAAAATTAAGAAAAAAATATAAATTATAAAATTAAAATAATTTTATATTTTTTGAATTGTACTTTTTATAATTTTATAAAAGTAATTTCGTAATTTTGTGATATTCTAATTTTATAATTTTAATTTTTTATAATTTTATTTATTTTCTAATTTTTCTAATTTCACAATTTTATATTTTGTTAGTTTTGTAACTATATTTTATATTTTATAATTTTATAATTTATCTTTATATATATATATATATATTACTTTTTCAATTTTATATTTTTTAATTTTATTTTTTAATTTTTATATTTGGTAATTTTATAATTTTAATTAGATATAACAAATATTTGAAAGAGATCTCCGTCATTTTGGTGTGGTGGTGTAGAAAATAAAATATGGCCACATTTAAATAGGTGAGAAGACAAAAGTATCTCATCACATAATTAACAAAAATAACGTTATAGAAACTCAATTCAAAAACTTTAAAATTTAAAAAAAGTGAATATATCACAGAGATTTTATAAAGATCCAATTAAAACTTTCCAAATCTATTAGAAGATCGAATGCATTACATTCTAGAATTGTCAAAATAGGTCACAACCCGCGGGTCAACCTGACCCACCACTGGTTTGAGTAGGGTTGGGTTTGAAATAATTGTATTTTTTTATGCAGAGATTTCAACCCGACTCATTTAAACATGGCTGATGCGGTTGAATCCATAGTGGGCCGGGTTACTTATTTTATTTTATTTTATTTTATTAAAAAATATTTATTATTTTATTTTTGTTTGAAAAAATTATTTAAGTTCTTTATTTTCAAAATTAATTAAACACCCGTTGGAGTGAAATTTGTTTAGATTTGATTTATAGAAAGTTTGTAATTTTTTTTATTTAAAAAAATTGTAATTAAGTGAGCCATTGAGCCAACCCGTTTACCCACCAACCCATGATGCGGGTTTAAATTTTTCTGGCTCGCTAGTAAATGAGCCAGGTTGGGTTGGCTCACTAAGTGACCAACCCGTGGTGGGTCGGGCCGGATGACCCGTTTTGACAGTTCTATTATATTCAATGTTAGTTAAAGTTGTTTATTGTTTTTCACCATAAGTAAAAATGTTATTAAAGTTATTTAAATGTTTTTAATTATAAATTTTCTCCTCGAATTAGCAGAGAAAATTTGATAAGAATTCTTTTTTATTGTCAATTCGCATT